AACAGAGTCGCATTTCAGGAGCATGAATGAGGAGCGAGGATGCAGAGAGGAGAGGAGCATGCAATGGCATCTGACCGGGGCTGGGTTATTCCCCAGCTAGTGCTGTCAAGCAGCTCCATTGACAGCAAAAAGAAGAAAGCAAATAAATTGGAGGTTTGTGAATGTCCCAAGACCAGAATATAAATGTGTTATGACATGCTGAGAAGTTTAATCCCACAAAATGTTTAGGGTGATACATTCTAGCTATGACAAAACAAAAAGAGGAAGAATATCGTTAAAGCCCCAAGATGCTGGCCTTGAATCCACTTTTTCTCCACAGTACTCTCACTTAACGGACACCATCATAGGTACGATGGGCCAGATAAATAACGCCAGCGTGTGATAAGACTCAGGACTCCTACATCTAGAAAGGGACTCAACATGTAGAGAATGTTTCAAGGCTGTTGAAGTCTCTAACTCCCAAGAGATGGCAGGCCTCACCCAGCACAAATAAAAAACATCCTTAGACAGAATGCAGAATTTAGAACTTAAGTTTTCTCCTTACACTAAAATTATAGAAACACATGTCTACAAATGGGTTAAAATGGTGATTGTTATGTTTTCCATTAAAGAAATAACTTCAAGCTTTTCTTATCGACAAAGTTATCCAGTCACGTGAGGACTTGTACTGTACTGAGCTTTTAAATGCTGTTTGTCCTTCTGCTTCTCAGCACTGGTTTTCAGTGCCACCCTTTTCCCCCTGGGCTTTGTGCTCTGCCACACCACCTGTTCACCTCAGGCCTGGGTGTCTGGTCTGACAAAGGCCTGCTTGAAAACCTCACGTAATTGCTTGTTTCCTGTTCTGTGGGCCTCACCTCACCATATCTAATGGGAGCTCTGGCCCGGATGCTGGGAATGTTGTGCCAGAAAGGTCTGGCTGGTCTCACTGCTCATTAACATGAGCTCTCCCTCGCCGGCCTGGGAAGCCAGAACACCATGTCTTCCTGGCGTGCCCATGTCCTGCCAGGTCAGGAAGTAAGACCCTTAGTCTGGCAGGGCAGATTTGCTTTCCTCCACGTGGCTACAGAGTCTTCAGTTTTAAGTGTCTGGTGAATGCTGTTCTTCTAGAACATGCTTATGCTTGACACTGATAAACTCTCTGATTAAAAAAAAAAAGCTGCATTGTAACATGCAAAGCTGTGGCTAAGAAACCACTGTTGATTTATCAAATCCTATCAGATGGCCAAGAAATTAAAATCTGAATTCAAGCTTTATAGCAAGGGGACACAAGGACCTAGAAATGAAACTTTCAAAAATCTAAAAGGATAGCCAACTTATTAGTCCATTTTAGATTTGACATGATATGCAACCAAAATTATAAGAAGTATATTGAAGATGCTTTCTGCTCAGAAGGTTGCAAGGTTCTTCATAATTGGGTAACCTCCTGGGTTCCTTTCTATGTCATGCTCATAGGGTGGGCCACCATTCCCTATGGTCTCAATCATTTCACATATGCTGATGACTAATGAATCCTCATCGCTAGCCCAGACCGTTGCTGAGCTCTAGGTCCAGATGGCGGGGCTTTGAGGCCATGTGTGATCAGCATTTCCCACTCCTGTTCTGCTGCTTCTTCTCTGTCTTGCGTCTTATGAAATGTCAACACCATCCACTTTTGCCTGTGCAGCTCAGGTAGGTGACCGAGTGCCTTCTGGAACTGCCCTCCCTGAGCTCTCGTTGCTCCGTAGGAGAAGAATTGCTTCCTACCTGCTTTTCCCTTCTCAGATCGTGTCTCTGTTCACTGCATTCTCCGTAGCCAGGTGGACTGTTTTAAAAAGCACCTTCGTCTCACTTTATAATATTCACTTTCTATTTCTCCATGTCTTTGCACTGATTCTACCCAAAACACCTTTCCTCACACCTTCCTTCTAGCTAATATCTGCATAGCTTTCAAAATCCATCTTCCTTCCCCAACTCTCTGTCAGGTTAGAAATCCCTTCTGTGTATCCCTACAGCAGATATAGTTTTACCAGCTACATTATGTTGTAACTTCACTCTCCTGTCTTTCCCCACTGGAATAAGAGATCCTAGAGGCTGCATAGTCCTTCGTATAATTGACTATATTTCTCATCTCGCAATTCCCAGAGTCATACAATAGCACAGGATCTGGCTATTGTATATCCTCCATAAAGTTCTGCCAACTGAATAAATGAAATGCTCGAGAATGAGGTCATGCATTTCTATGCACCATCTTGCTGGAAACTAGGCTAAAGGAAGACTACAATGAAATAACTACTGCAAAAAGGGGAAATTTTGTTCAAGCGGTGGCACTGAATCAGATTTTTAAAAGTGCTGGTCAGTTAGGCCTGATTATTTGAATGTGTCTCTCACAAAGACAAGGGGAAAGCCTGGGCTGTTGTCAAATTCAGCACAGTAGTCTGTAGGGGACAAACAATTATATAGCAGAGACCGTTACCTTGGGCAGCCAGAAACAGAGGGAGCACATGCATAGATTTGGGGATATAATGATCCCTACAGAAGCATATTTAGAACCCTGACCTGGTTTGCTACCAATATACAAAAGGAGGTCTTTTTTCTATTGTTTAAGCTCTTTGAATCTTCAGTGTGAGAATACATGGTAAATCCTGATAGATCTTATCAAGCTTGCACCTTGATTTGGTATTTTTTAAAAAGTGCTTTTAAAAAGAATTTCATCCCTGACTTGGAAATGTCAGCCACCTATGGGCCACATGCACCACTTCAGTATCATATCCTTTGCACCTGACAGCCCTGCACTGAAAATCTGCCTCCTGAGGTCTGATCTGCTTTGTTTTCCATCCACACCTCTTCAACCCATGCCGTGCTCACTTATTTTAATGCTGTGTCTCTCTACTGGAAATGTTATCTGCTGCTATTAAACCATGCAGCCACTCCTAATGATAGAAATCCTGGAAAAAGCCAGTACTAAAAGCTTTCTTTTAGTCTTTGCTTTTGGCTTCGTGGTCCTATAGAAAACTCTCTGCTTGGGAAGAGATACGGTCCAGGCAGCACAATGAATATGTAACTGAGGAGAGAATAGGATAGAAATATTAAAATGTTAGGTTGCCTTTTAAGCCACTAGCTCTACCACCCTGACTAGGACTGTCCATAGCTGGAAGTGGGCCCTAGTGATAAGAAATATGAATATTACTGTTATGGTTTGTGTCTAGATGTCCTCCCAAAGCCCCATGTGGTCATAGGTGGGGCTTTTTCAGAGGTGGCTGGATCTAGAGTGTGTGATGCTGGGATTACAGGTGGGTGACTACTAAATTAATCCACTGGTTGGTTTGGAGTAGTTCTGTGTGGATACTGGGGAGGTCCAGCCTGGGTGTGAGTGCTATCCACACTAAGGGGATGTGTAGCCTGGAGAAAATATAAGGGACAGAAGAAAGGCTGTGGTTGTCACTGTGGTTGCTTGCTCTATGTGTTTTGGTGTTTTTCTACCTTCCTGCCTTCTGCCCACCATGAACCATTTCTCCTCTGGCACGCTACCCTTCCTTGGAGCCAGCCAGCTATGAACTGAAACTTTTACAAACTGTGAGCTACAATAAACCTTTCCTCTTCAACGTTGGGTATTAGATATTTTGGCTTGGCAATAAGAAAAATAGCTGACACCATTACCAAACCAGTTGTTTGCTGATTTGCTAGTTGCTTCACAGCCACTCTTCCAACATCCAGCTCCTGGAAAATTGTGCTTGTTTATATTTTCTGTCTTCAAGAATATAACTTTACTGACATTTTGAACTTTCCAAAATTGAATATGAGTAGTTATGCTTTGATTAGCAACTCTTAATTAGTTTTAAAACCTCTGTTTCATGCAAAAGAAAATGCAGTTTGACTAACAGGTCAAGTATATTCCCTTTATTCCTGTTGGCCGGGTGATGTCAGTGAGGCTCAGCCACCTTCTTGTGATCACTGATCTTCAACAACTTGGAACTTGCTTCCTATTTCCCCATCTCTCATGTCTTCCTGAAGGTCAAGCAATAGCCATGGTACATACATTCCGCTTGTGCTCTGCCTTTCTTCTCCATCTTTTCTCTGAGTTTGTCTGCTATCCTCTGACCTCTGGTCACTTGACATATTAATATTGTGCAGATTAATAAAATAACATCTGCATGTCCTCATTGCCAGCCCATCCAACACCACTGCTCATTTCCCTGAAATGTGTGTCAAATCATGTCATCGCCCTGTTCAGAAATTTTCACAGGAACTTTACTGCTTACTGAGTCACTCCTGCGTGCTCAGATCTTTTACGTCCGACACTCAGTTAATTCAATGATGGGTATGTACTTCTGTGTCTTCAACACACTTTGTGTGATCTCTCCTCTGTGCTTTTCACAGAGCTGCTTTTGACCCGGGCTCCCTGGTTTGTATCCTGGTTCCATTGTTCACTGGCTTTGTGCCTTTCCTTCCTCGTTTGCAGTATGAGGGTCATTACAGCACCTATTTTCTAATGTTTAATGCCAATTACATGAGGACAGACATACAAATCCCTTGGAAATGCTCCAGGACACAGGAAGTAGTTAATACACATTAGGGATCATTATTTTGATGACTTTCAAGACTCTTTCAAACCCACATCTTGAGTCCTTTATATTGCCTGATTCAATGGAATTTCTTCCTCTTTTTATACTTCTCTGAGTTACACTTGACATATAATGCCCTGCCTTAGAATACTGCATGTATTTATATTGTCCTATACTGAACTATACACCGATTGAAGTTGACAAAATCGTATTCATCACTGTGTGTACCCTGAAGTTCCTTGCATAGCACCTGACACACAAATAAATACTGAGTGAATTGACTTTACTGTCTTAACACTGTGTTCTATAAATGAGAACAAAACACCGCACATAAAGATAAGTAAAATGAGACAAATAGCTTGATATCATGGATGTCACTGGTGAAAGACATTGAGATTGATGCCATTAAAATCAGGGCTCGCCCTGATAACACCCAATATTCTGTGTTCTCCATTACAGGTCTGTTTGGTGGCCTATCTTGGTTTGTTTATGCTTTGTGTCTCATATCAAGTTGACGAACGGACATGTATCCAGTTTTCTATGAAAGTAAGTTTTTTTTATCATCTCATAGAAAGAAGCATAAGTACAAAAATAAAGGCATGCTTTGTAAGGGGCTGCATATCTGATGAATCTAGAAACTGCATTTTCAGGCATGCCAAAAAATGTTTTAGGAGGGCATTGATCCAGACCCAAAGGTAATGCTAGTCTTTTCTTAAGTCTTAATTTCCATGAACTGGGTTCGCATGGAGCATATGAAGTGTGTCCTTTAGCGCCCTTAAAAGTAATATCGAACATTTAGCTCAACAAAACACTTGGCTACAGAAAGGTGTCTCCACTGGCGCCCACTTCCATATCTCGGGGGTTGCTTGGAATATTTTAATAATGAAGCAATCTAAGTGTATTTCCTCTCGTGGGTGGGATCACTGAGATAGAAAAAGTACATTGCGTGCATCCAGATGACCTGTGCCAAGAGTCTGAGGGCAATGTTTGAGATATTCATGGCTTGGCAAGTGCATGTCTTTCATTTATATGTGAATTTTCTCTCCATCGAGAACGGTATATTTGGTTGGAGTTTATTCAAGTGGACAGAATTTTCACTGCACAGCAGAATCTCTAAGGGGAAACATAGATACCCTCTTTCAGAATGTAAGCACATAAAACACTGATCCTAGTACTCAGACCTAGTGGGTGTCAAATTCCACACTGGCTCTCACCAGCATAGTGGGGAATACAAAGCTTTCTGTCATTTTTTGTTCATTCATACTGATTACTGTTTTTCTATAAAAACATATTCTTTTGTTTGCTATAATAGCAAAAGTGAGATATAATGGTTAAGTCAACAATAATAACTGAAAATTACTAAGAGAAAGTAATCAGTTGTTTTAGAATATCAAGTAGAATTGAGACTGTTGACATCAAAAAAAGGCAGTATGCTGATACTTTTTAAAATCCTGCTGAAAAATATATTAATAGAATAAAAAGTAACATTATAGGAATGAAAAAGCTGGTTACACAAAATGTATAGCATGATTCTACAGAAGAAAGGTAATCTTTTTTTGTGCATAAAATAAATAATTATCTATGAGTAGTGAAATGTTAGGAACATTTTGAAATTTTTTTTCTAATTTTGAAATGTTCTCCAATAGTGAAATGTAACTTCTTAAATTAAAAATTACATGTTTTTAAAATTGCTATGACTTAGAATTTTGGTGCATTTACCTACTTTTGGAAATTTTACTTTTTTTTTTTTTTAAATCTGAAAATTTTTCTTTAAAGAAAAAGCAGACATGGGTTCATGTTTACTTCCTTGGTTAAGGTCTTACTAAGCATGCCTTGATGAAAAAGCAAACAAAAGAGAGAATGAAAGAAAGGAGCAGGGAAGCCCAATAAGAAACAACTCATTCAACTTTAGAAAAGTTCATTCCTAAACGCCCTAAATTAGATGTTTATCAGTTTACATGCAATGCTCCCATTCCTCCATCCCGTGATCCCAGAAAACAGGAGCAGTGAAAGACTCACTTTCAGGGAGACCCCTAAACATCATAACATGTGTACCTTGGTTAAAATAAGGAATGAGGGACCAGAAAAGACAAGAAGAAAGTCACTGCCAGCGTCAGGCAGGTTGAGAATCCCCTGCTAGGAAGATCTCATTAACTTCGCCTGTGACACTGACGAACATCAAGGCGAGTTTCTCTTTCCCTGAAAGTGGCCTTTACTGATGCTTGTGGTCAGCATCACAACCCTTGATAGCAACTTGGGGTCCAAAGTGAGCTTCCACCAGGCACCAGGTTTTCGGTTGGTCCATCGGGTGACAGCTGACTCCTCCTGGGCTTCTCACACTGTTTTAGGAGAGGGACAGGAATAAAATGTCTTATAATATTTCCCATCTGCATGACTGGAGTGTAGAGCCTCCATGTGGGTACCATGGGCCAAGTTTCGAGAATTTATTTTGTCTTCTTGAATGCCCAGATAGCCAGGGGTTATGACTGTTAACTTGTAGACTGCACACACACACACATACACTTGCTTGTGACAGCCCCTGGAAAGTATCAGAGCTTTCCTGCTTTCTCTCTGGCCTCTGCCACTGGGCTTGGCAGGCCACCTGGCAGCTGGACATGCCTCCTGCCTCTCTTGGTGGCCCAACTTTCTCAGGGCTCGTCTGGGTTTTAAAAAATGTTTTGTTCATGTGCTCAGGGAAACATTCGGGGGCATAGTCTCTATTGTCACATTCCAGAGGCCCCCAGGCCACTGCAGCAGCCTTCCCCTGTGCAGCGTGCTGCACAGGGGCCTGTGGCACTCCGACCACCGGGGAAGGTAATTAAATTGAAGCAGAACCAAGTCACCAAACGTGCAAGCCACAGCCCAGTACTGATTAGGAGAGGCAGGGAGCCAGCGAGCTGAGCCAGGCTGCTGTTACATAAGCACATAAGCGCGGCCACCGGGCCTCTGCGACCTGCAACACAAATGCCTCCCGCGCCTGCTGTTACCAAGATATATTTGCTCGGATTCCCAAGGTCATCATACCTGCTTTTCATTGATAGTTTATTCGTGCCGTGTAAGTAAAACAAGCCACTTGATTTTAAATTATGGATTCTAACCCAGGAGCTTGTTGCTGTCAGAATTTAAAACCTAGAAGAGGAAAAAATGCTACAGCATTGCAGATGAAGCCCACAGGCTTTGGGAGGGACATCACACACAATTTATGACCTAAATTAGTTAAGAAACTTGATTCTGTGACCTCCTCCTATTTGCTGATGCTTTCCTTGAGCAAGAGAAGCCAAGTCAGAAAGTGTGAGATACAAACTCACTTAAATCTGTTCCCATTCCAAGGAGCTAAAGGGTAGGGTTTTATTTTGTGCTTTTGCTAGGTTCTAGCATATTGAAAAGAGGCTCAATTAAAGTTGAGCGATCACTGTTTGTGTGAATGTTTACATCCTGCCCACCTGCCAAGGTGCAGTGTTATTCCTACAACAGGAAGACAGAGCAAAGAGGTGGTTGCAAAAAATCCTGAGGACTAGAAGCTGGCTCCTTCTCTACTAATTTGTTTATTTCACAGATAGGGCAAGAGTGCCACTGGTACCATGCACTGCCCTTTGCAGATATCAACTCTATGATTTTTATAATCCCTTGCAGTTGCTGCTGCTCTGATCATCATTCCAAGTTTACAGATGATGAAATATAGGTGCACAGACATAGATTCATTTGCCCAAGAATCACAGCTAGTGAGGGGAGAACTGGGGATCTAACTCAGGCTTTCTGGCTCGTGCTTTTAACCATTGCCCAGTTCTGCTAGGCACTTGTTAAACGGTCTTGGGCAAAACTTTTAATTTCTGAGCGAGAATCTATTCTTTTAAGAATAAGACAAATTTTCATTTTCAGCAAATTGATTTTTGCCCAGGTGAATGTTGTAGGAAATCTGAGTCAACCTCTCTTTCTCCTCTCTCTCTCTCTCTCTCTCTCTCTCTCTCTGTCTCTGTCTCTCTCTCTGTGTATGTATATATATATGTGTTGAGGTTAGGGGAGTAGTTATGAGACCTCCTGGCTTCACCCACTGATGAGAAAGTTCTCTTTGGGATCATCCCACTAAGCAGATAACTACCAGGTAGAAAGTTAGCCCTAACCTGATACAAGTTCCCTCCTGGTACTTGTGATGTGCTAATGTTCCCAGAGCCTACAGTTCCCAGCTCTCCGCTGAGCACACTGGAGACACAGCTCCAAGAGGTACTCACGTGGCTCCCCCTTTAAGTCAATCACCAAGCAGGGTGTGGTGGTGCATACCTGTAATCCCAGCACTTGGGAGGCTGGAGTAGGAGGATTGCTGTGTGTTTGACACCAGCCCGGGCTACATAGTGAGTTCAGGGTCAGCCTGAACTGCATAGTGAGATCCTGTCTACATAGACAAGTAAATAAAGTCAATCATCAAGCCTGAATCTTTCAGAACAACCCTCAAAATAACCCCTTATTTTTAAGCCATACATTCCATTTTTGAATAAATAGAGTCACTGAATATGTAGGGGATAGGAACAAAGTACTGATTCCAATATCACAAATTGAATAATTCCTTTTTAAAAATCTATAAAGCTAAAAAAAATCTATAAAGCTGCCAGCTTGTATTTATCTGGTTCCCTTTCTCCAAGGAACGCTAAATGTGTCAGCTAAAGACTATTTTTGTTATGTTCCTGAGATATACCTGTGTTTCTATAAAGTGTATCACAGGTGAAGATACTTGGGTTTCTTCTGACAACCTCAGAATAATTTGAAAAGATACTTTTCCTGAGAAAAGAGCCTTTCCTGAGAAGCTGAGAAGGTTCAAAGAATACACACACTCCTTAGTTAAGATACATATTAAGATACATTAAGAAAAAGGCAACATTAACCAATTCCATTCTCTTCCAGATCTCAAATATGCAGTTCAATTGTATGTGATCCCTCGAGTTCCTTTCTGTGCAAACCAGACACATTTAAGGCACTAGCAACCATGCACACGCACACATGCACACACACTCTCACACCACTCAAGAAAAATAAATTAAAAATTTAACTATTCTGAATTTAAGACTTTAAAGCACTTGAAATTTTCACTATGGAAAAATCACTCAGTTGACAGACTTCCCTACATGTATTAATATTCTTAAAATTTTTTTAAATTATATACTCTCGGGAGTAGGAGGAGGGCATAATCTTTTCTGGGCTCCTTTAATCTGACCCTGGAAAGGACTGGAACATATCTTACTTTGGGGACTTATGCTCCAGAACTGCTCTTTGCAAAGAGCGAAGTTTGACCATGGGATCACATATCTTGCACTGTGAACGGAGGACACTTCCAGAATCTGAGGAATCCAAGGGCTTATTTAGATCCTCAGCAGATGGAACCTCAAGAGAAATGTTTCTGGTCAGTGAGTCCAATCTTAGGAACCTTACTTGTGCTCTACAACAGATTTTATTATGACCATCTCAGGGAGGACCTGCAGTGTTTGATCAACAGTGTCTTAGATGTAAGTCAGCTAAATGACTTGTTCAGAGACTCCATTGTGCTTTCTCGGTGGAATTAGAACTTTAACCAGACATCTCCAGTCCTGAGGTTAACGCATAGTAAGTACTACAGTGCTCAGGACCTTGGTGCTCAGGGAACCATTTACAGTTTATTTTAGCCCAAGGACTCCACTGTTCTAGATGAACTTGGAATAAGACCAATGATAAAGTTGATACCAACTAACTTGCCATCCAGAGATATAATTTTCTTCTCCCAGCACCTTTTGCTGGGGTTCTTGGCATTATGGATACAGTCCGGCAACTATTACATCTAATGCATTCACCTGTATTGTTAGTTAATCCGTTACTGATAATTTTACCCAAAGCAGTGTTTACGTTACAGGAACCTACTCTTTATTCCCTGGTCTTATTTCAGTCTTACTCTTAGCAATGCCTGACTTCAAAATAAGCATGTTCTGTCACCCAGGGAGAGCTATCTTGTTTGGAATGCATTTAGACTGCACGCCACATCTACACATAAACATTCCACAATCAAACTAATTGTACAATTGGTACAATTCACAAAAAGGGTCTAACATCTGTAAGGCAAATGGAAATGGGATGGGGGTTTAATAATTGTTCCCTGATACATAAACATGAGGGTACTGTCGTGTCTTTAGGGCTGTGTTTCTAAAGAGAGACAGCCCTTCCACCAGAGGACTTCCTGAGAGAGAAGAAAAAGAACAGTGTTATTAACGAGCTTTGCAAACGGGCATCCGATGGTCTTCATAAACAGCCTTTCTGTTTTATCTTCTGCTTTTTCTTGCAGCTGTTGTACTTTCTGCTGAGCGCCCTGGGCCTGACGGTCTGTGTGCTGGCTGTGGCCTTCGCTGCCCACCACTATTTGCAGCTCTCACAGCTTACCTGCGAGCCGGCCCTCGACTCCTGCCAGTGCAAACTGCCCTCTGCAGAGCCACTCAGCAGGACCTTTGTTTACCGGGATGTGACTGACTGTACCAGCGTCACTGGCACTTTCAAACTGTTCTTAATCATCCAGATGGTCCTTAACCTGGTCTGCGGCCTCGTGTGCCTGCTGGCCTGCTTTGTGATGTGGAAACACAGGTACCAGGTCTTCTATGTGGGTGTCAGGGTGTGCTCCCTGGCAGCTTCCGGAGGCCAGCAGCAAAAGGCCTAAGTGTCTCGCTCTGCTGTGACAGAGAAAGCAGCACACTGACGAGCTAAGGAGAAACACAATTCTTTTTTTAAAGCAAAGAGAACACTTTTGACAATACTCTCCACTGCTCAAAATGAATATTTTTATATTATTCACAAAACAAAGAGCTTTTCTTCAGGTTTTCTATTGTATTTTTAAAAATTCTTGGGGTGGGGGGACATGATCCAAATTGATTTGTTGGATATGAAAAATTGGAAGAATGCTGAGCAGGGAAAGAATGACATAGATCTATCTTTAGAGTCTGGAGTTTATTCCTAATGCTTATTTTACCCATTACCCATATAACCTTCTTTCCTGCTCTCACGGTTGTCTTCACGGTGTTCCTGAGAAAGGCGGCAGCTAGGAAAGAGCTGAGTGTCCAGGTTGAATGTCTTTATTTTCCCTGGCACATGTGTTGCAGGACATGATCACTGTGAAAAGCACAGCAGGCTTGGTTGCCGGCTAAAGCATCGCAGACACCTGGGCTTGGAAGCCAGATTTGAGGCTCCCTCCGTTGATTTTTGTCAAGTGGATCACCCACAGAATGCTTGGGGATGCTCGTCTGCTTCTCAATAATTGGGAGGTAGTAGTAGCTGTATTCTTAATGCTGTAGAAGGTTTAGAAATAATTACATTGTGCTTCTATTCTATCTTCTAAAACAAATCATTAAAACTAATTTCTAGCTAATTGTTAATTATAATTATGCTCGGAAGTCTATTTAATGAGCTCGAGCTGTACTCAGGCAGTGATGTTGGTGTTAAAGAGAAATTACTCTCACCAGAGAACGTACCTAAAGATCCCTCCCCTCCCCTGGCCTGGAAGCCAAGCATTACAAGAAAAAAAAATTGTTTTGTTCCTAATGCTCAGGTTAAAAGCCCTCATTTAAACAAAAACAAACGCATTTATCATAGGGAATGTTTCTACAAATAGCACATTTGTGATATGTTAAAAAGTATCTCTCTCTGCAACCATGTATCTTTCAGGGAAACCGGGTAATGGTGATGAGTTTTATTCATAAAACTGTATTCATATGTAACTCTTATTAATTTGCCTGCTATCAAGCTATTGACTCAAAATAATGTTTTCTTCTTTGAGTAATGTCCTTCTTTAAGTAATACCTCCATGGTCTTGGGGACAGTAGTCTTGTTTTGTTTTTAATTAATTATGACTTAAAGCACACAGACCTTATCATGCTATTGTTATTAAATCCTGAATAATTTCAGTGCTTCAGGGAAAGAGCTAAATATGAAAATTCAGGCAGCATAAATGCTATCAGAATTTCTCTATTACTACTCTATGTTGAAAGTAGAATTTCAAGATAAGAATTGAGCTCAATTTGCCTCTCCATGTTGCCTGTTGATACAGTTTTCTGATCATGAAATTCTACCCTAAAAGGAAAACATGTTTTTGTTTGCCTATGAGGATACACAAATAATTCCATTGATTGTGCCAATTTTTGCACAATAAAAATATTCCAATAAAAAGGAAATGTTTAGACAGTAATCTGGAGGATTGTAAATATCTTTTATGTCCTTCATATAAAACACCTGATTAATAAGTGTAAAAACCTTTTTGTATTTTAGCTAGCTTTAAAATTATCTCAGGCAAGAAAGCATATTGGACAAGTCCTTGAATAAAACTCAAGAGCAGAATTGTTCACAAAAAATATCACCGGCAGGTTTCAGGTCAAACCTCTTGGAAATGGCCTGAAAAATACTTGGTATCCTGCTAAGAAAAATCCCAATAATTGATTCCACTTTGGTTTTTGATAGTTTCCTACATAGAGAAGAAAATGATGAAGAATCTGGAGTATTGTAGGCTTTAAAAGAGTAAGAAAGTTGTGCTTTAATGCTATTTACTATAAATCCAGGCACCACTAGCAGCCACTCTGAATATGTTTAGCAACTTTTTAAAATAGTGAACTCTACAAGATTTTGTATTAGAAAGTTAAGAATCTCCACATCATTAAGGTGCTCTACGCTTTACAGATGATTCACAGGGTATTTTAAGTAGATTACCTTTAGCTTGTATGCTTCCTTTTTCTAAATAATGCAACCAAAAAGAGCTGAGATAGTAATAACCCTGATAATAATATGCATACTAGTCAGGACACACACATACACACATAACAGGGATTTTACTATTGTGCAATGAGAGCATGCTCAGATCCTAAAAGGAAAGAAAGAACAGAACCAAAAAGAAAGGAAGAAGAGATTCCTCTACTGCAAGCTCACTGTGTATTGACATGTGTAAGAATCGTGTTGCATGAATAACAAACCGCTTTGGGCTGGATTTGAAGTATTTTGATATTATGTTTTGCAAATATTGAAGTTACAATGAGGGCAACAGAAAAGGAACAGTTACACAGCTTTACACTTAGCAAAATGTTACATTTAAAATCTGACAAGTAGCCAAGATGGTGACTGTTTCTTCTAAACCATGAGACAGTAAGATTTGCGCAATCCTCCTCCTCTCCCACCTCTTTCAGGAGAATTAAATGAACCAAGACTTTGGAAAGAAGGGGAACAGCCAGGACTTGGCAGGACTTGAAATAGGAGAAATACAGCAGCCTAAATGTACGGACTTTGTAACTGAGCCCACTCGTCGGCTTGTGCCTTCACGTGACCACCATCTGTGCCTCCCTCGCTCCATCCAAATCTGTGTAGGCAGCGCCCTGGAACTGTGCCTGAGACTATAGCTATACCAGGGCCCTAGAAACTGTAGTCAAGTAACAGCCCCACCCCCCACCCCCTTTCGATTAAAAGTGCAGATGATTCTTTTTGATGCATTTCCAGCTGTGGACATCAAGCGTGTTGTCCTGACAGCAAGAATGCATTATGGATGTGTTTTCTGTTCATGTCCAAGACGTGAGGACCTTTTCATATTTTTGCACTTCCTGCTTTCATGCAGTGGATCTGGAACACGTTTATAAAATTTTCGTAAAGGCGGGAACAATGGATATCCAAGGGGGATTCTGAGGGACAGCTGTGAAGTGGTTACTTTTAGCGTAATCAGAAACATAAAATTGCTCTGCAGATCTAATCATTTGCAAACATGCAATATACCTTTATATTTTCTAGTAATTATTTCTGAATTTCTACTAGGTGACAATATATTTCTTTTCTTTTCTTTTTTTCCTTTTTCTTTTTTTTGTGCCAGGAATCAAACTCACAACCTCGCACTTGCCTGGCAGGTGCTGTGCTGCTGAGCTGTATCCCTGGCCCTTGGCAGTGTATTTCTGTGAACCTACTGGCTATCAGTTTTTACTATACCCAAAACCTATCATGCTTTTAGCTATACACCGTCCTTAGGAATACATGATGGCCAGATACAATGACTCACAGTGGAAACATTCATTTGGATGAAGACTTAGTGGTTGAGCCTTTGAAATCAATACCTTGATTTGTTTCTTCTGATTTTCTAGTACTTTATTATCACAAATGATTATTATTATCCCCTTCAAAAACATTGGTCTGTATTTTGGTGTTGTGGTTTCATTCTTCTGGCCTTGATCAAATAGTGAGTAGAAAATGAAGTGTCGCTCCATGCTTGAGGTGGTTGTTTTTAAAGGGGATGTGTATACTACAGATTTTCTTAATAAAATGTTCATAGTCTCTGAAAACATTGTGTTGGGATGTGCTTCCAAGTGACTGTACAATTCACATAAACTGGTACACATAAAACCTCTCAGGTAAGTATTTACTTTTGAAAACTTCACACATCTGGCTTGGGAATGGGTAAGAATTGATATTATTTTGATTTCTTTGTCTTTGGAACTCGGTCTGCTTTGCAGAAATCAAGTTTATAAATGCTGTCCAGACAGAGTCTGAGCTGGAAAAAAATCTCTGGAAGGTACCTGCAATGCTGAGTCTTAATTTGTATCAGTTAATGTCAAATAAAGTTTTCCTAAAGAATGACCACACAATCAGAGTCTACATTCAGTTCATAGGATGACAGATGGCCTTCTGCACTTAACTCTGTTCAAGGACCTCGTCTTCCAAGTATGAGGCAATTTAAGCATTAATTATAGTGCAAATGCAGTGGTTCCTTTTGTTAAGTTAGACAAACTCATAGGAGATGCAAAAAGAAGGGATAACAATTTAGGTCAAACCAAAGCTGGATTTGCTAGGGTTAGTGCCAGGTTTGTAGGCTCCACATTTGACGGTCTGGCTGCCATTTATTGGCTGTATGACTTTGAACAAGCCATTTGGTTTTTAACTTCCTCTTGTGTAGAGAAAAATCTAACTGCATCCCAGCATCATGGGCAAGGTTGAATGAAGCAGCACTTATCAGATAGACTGGCCCCGCAGAGGACATAACATACTTGGTCTTTCTTCTTTAGCTTATTCTATGTAGCCTCTGACATTTTTCCTGTATCACAGGACATTAACCTAGAAAAGTAGCTCTATTTTTAGTCCTTTTCAGTGATAATAAACCAGAAACATTGTCCAAATGAACATTAGAAAAACTCTGCTTTTAAAATATGAAAGTAACCAATTTTATTGTTAGGCACAGAAGTCACAGAATTCTGAGCTGGTTGAATCCCTACTTACTGGGTTTTCCACGTGGATTTTTTTTGTTTGCAGTACTGGGGATTGAACTCATGATCTCGCCTTGCTAGGCAGGCACTTACGCCGCTGAGCTAAATCCCCGGCCCTATGTGGATATTTTTTACTGTGTTCATCTCCTCTCAGGCAGAAGTAGAGCCTGAGACACTGCTCTTGTTTTTCGTTTAATTTATAACTTAATGTAATAAAAACATGCTTAACCTCAAAGTTTTAAAGCAAATCTTTATAGAGCTTTCTTTTTGTTTTTGTATTTTTTATGTATATATGTTTGTGATAAATAGTAATTACACTCATCTTGGGGAACTGGTATATATATATATATATATATATATATATATATATATATATATATTCTTAATCATTTTTACTTCCCTTCTCCTATCCTTCCCATCTCCAGTCTGCCTCTCTATTTTTTATCATCTATCTTTTATTTTGCTCTTTGAATTATTTATATTTTGAGTTTCTCACATGAGAAAAGCCATCCACTGTTTAACCTTTTGCATCTGATTTATTTCTCAAATTGCATCTATTGTCCCAATCCTCACTCACATTTATTCTTTCTGGCTAAATAGTAGTCCACCGTGTACATACATTTTCTTTATTCATTCATCTGTTTATGATCCTTTAGGCTGTTTCCAAAATTTAGCTATTATGAGCATGTATGCATCATTGTAAAATGATTCTTTAATTCTTTTGGGATGTTACCCAGAACAACCATAGCTGGGTCCAATGACATTTCTCTTTTAATTTTTTGAAGGATCTTCATACTGATTTTCACAGCAGTGCTAATTTACATTCCCACCAACAATGTAGAGAGGTTCCTTTTCCCCCACAAATTTGCCTGCATTTTTAAAAAAATTCTTGATAATAGCCATTCTTTCTGGAGTAGGGTCGAGTCTCAGTGTTGTTTTGATTTGCATTTCTTGAATGGCTAAAATGCCAAAGATTTTTCACACATTTTTTGGCCATTAGTGCCCCTTCTGAGATGTGTTAATGTTATTCATTTCAGATGCACATTTTTTGATTGAGTCTATTTTGGGGTATCTATTTTTCTGAGTTCATTGCATATTCTAAACGTTAGATTTATTGATTTGATTTACTGAGCTTTTGTATATTATCATTGTGCTGTACATTATTATATATTCCCTAGCATCAAACGTCGTTGATGTACTTGTCTCTGAATCCCTGATCCTTACTCAAAAATCACAAAAGCTTTACTTTTGAGCATAGTCAGAAAGTACTAACAGGAGCATCATTCTCCAAGCTAGATATAGAAATATTAACATGAATATTTAAATGTTTAGCCAATTTAATTATTGAGATTTCACAGTCAGCAATCTGCTTGTTCTTTGGTAGGCCCTATGCATCATGAGAAATTTTTAATTGACACATCCATATCATTTATAAATTATCCTTCATAAAATATCTGATAATAGTAGGTATTATGCTATATTTTTTAAAAATTCCAGTGGTAACTGAAAATAAAACCAATATATAAAGATGGCAGCTCAATACAACACTTTGTTCTTTTATTTTTTCTAATAAATATTTATATATGTTTATTGACTCTTTCCATAGCATGGGTACAGAGATGTCATCTTATTTTTAATTTCGGAAAGTCATTAGAAAGATCCTGTAATCAAAAGGATTTGGGACAGGTATTCATCTGTTATTCTTGGAAAAATCAGACGCTACAGCAATAATCCAACTGCAAAAATTTTAGCCTTTTAGTTTACTCAGCCTCTCTGGTCACGGCTGAGGATGGGAGGCCTGCATCCTGATCGTGGGAAGGAAGCTGATCCCTGCTCTTTCATGAGGAAGCCACTGGGGAGGGGACAGGGCCCCTGGGATGGGCAGAAGCCCACCGGTTGCTTTTGGATTCAAGTGATACCCAAAAGAGGGGGCTGAACCACAGGAGCTCAGGGGGCACCTAGAGCCCTGAACTGGGAGACTTGAGACTACATCTCCCGGGGAAGCGCACCCCATTTCTACTTCCTATCCAGGCCCCTCTCACTAAGCAGATGTGATTACAAAGAGCAAAAAGGTGACTCAAGGACTTCAGGGGCAGAGGTCTTGCAACCAGAGGAGATGCCTGTAATCAGATAAAAGTCCTTCCCCAACTGATTGCCTGCACCTTCCTGGACATGTGGCTATGAGATCACTGATGTCCCAGGAAAGGCCTGACAGTGATGTGTCACCTGGACTGAGCTGTTAGAGACAGAGAAACAGGGTGGGAAAGCCCGTGAATAAAATCATCACTAGCCTCAGTTGGTGATTATTTTTAATTTCTTTCACTCAGAATAGAATTCATTCACTCTTACTGAATAGAAAGTATTCTTCCAGATTGCTTCAATCTTTCACTAAGTTTTGTTCCCTACATTGACAAAAGTGACAGAAGGATGATACACAATTTCGAAAGGAGAGAGGGTTCCCTCCATTTTAACACTGCACACCAAGGCTTGAGACATTGATCTTGTCTGTTCAACCACTAACTGGGAACATACATGCAGGCAAATGTAGAAGAGTGACATCCTGAACATATTTGGTGGCCGGATGAAGGGACCACAAGCAAAAACCTGGATTCCATTTGGCCCAACTTGGGCTACAGTTAGAGTAACCATCTTGGTATAAACCTCACACCCACCTACCACCTGATTTTAAAATTACTCCAGACAGCTCTGGGAAAAATTATCAAGACAACTATTGCATTTATAACTTTTTCCTATCCTGGGCTGTCTCTACACTTCTGAAGAAGAGACCCCGCCCCTGCCACCGTGCCCATTCCACAGTAAATCTGTCCTTGCTTCAATCCCCTGCCCTGTTTCCATGAGACTCTAAGATAGTGCTAACTCAACTGCTAGTGGTTAGTACCATAAATATTGGTTTGACTTTAATAGGCTATTCCTAAAGATCAGCAAAGTCTGCAGATCCAGAGAAATGAGGCACGTTGCCAAGGAATAGAGACCCACCCAGCCAGCTGTCCTTCAATCACAGCCACGTAGGAAGCCACCTACTCTGTCTGCCCGGGGTTAGCACAGAGCTTCAGAGCTGGTGGGACTTGGAGAGCATTTCCGATCAGTCCTGGCTCTGCTCTGTGTCTGCACCTAATCAGGCTGCTGGTTATTTGTGAGCAAATCTCTTCTGGCTGAAAAGGAAACATCCAGAAAGCCAGAGGGAAGTGATTTTTCCTCCCCCAGTTTCACAGGGCATTTACTGGGAAAGGCAGAGGGAGCAGAAGAGAGGAATTCACGCAGAACCTCTTCGCCCGAGTGGCTGGCTCCCTGAGCCTCACTTGTGACAACTCACCAAGGTTGACTAACTCTGCTCCGACCCCAAGGCTTCTCTATTCATCCCACACAGAACACCCTCAGACACTCGCCTGGCTTCCCACTGCTGCCCAGAGCAGGATGTGTTGGCCAATAAACAGGAAAAATGCTCACTTCTGGTTGAAAAAGTCCCAAATTGTAACTTAACAGGGTGATTTTTTTTTTAAGTTTCCAAAATGTGTTTTTCCCCTGAGTCCTTCAGCACAGACCATGCGGTTTTGTCTCTCCTGGTTTTACAGTCTATCTGCCTCAAGCCAACAGACTTGGCTCCACTTCCCCCTGAGTCAGAGTCTCGGCTGGTAGCTGAACCCAGGAAGCCCTGGCCCCATGCAACTCCCTGGAACCACCAGACCACACAGCCTCCTGCGCTCAACCCTTTGGCTGGGTGTCCTGCCTCTTCTTTGTTTGGAAAGAGACATCTTATGTAACCCCACAACCGACTAAATGCTTCATTGTCTTGCACTTGGGAGAACTCAAAATAACCCATTAGTGACTTATGACTTATTACAAAGATAGAATCTATTACGATCCACAGCCCCCATGGAGAAGAGCTGGTCTCACCTAACTTACTACGATTGCGGTCTTCGGGGCATTATAAGTTCAATATGAGGTGCAGGGAACACAAAGGCTAGTTCATCTATAGGTCACTGGTAATTTGCTCAAACAGCACATGAAAGGCATTTGTAATTCAAGACCAACGCAGGCGCAAATGACTTTAACTAATCTGA